ATCCCTTCCACACACAAAGTACACAGGGATGGGCAACTTGGACATTGGCTACCCAAAATGGTGGGAAGGGGGTGGCTACAAAGGCAAGAAGTGACTGGCTTACAAGCTTTCAAGAGGAAACCTAGATCCAGAGGGCCTGGAGGAAGGTAGAATCTCCAGTGAGTAGTATCCAGTCTGTCTAGGTGGGGCTGATGAAATGAAATGCAGATGGGTCTCTTGTAATACAATAGTGAATAATTGTTATCAGGACTGATTGTGAGGGTTGGAAATGTAAAGGTAGACATTTTATAGCAAGGAGGGCATTGATTAACTTTCCAGTCTAGGAGTGGAGGTCCCTAGGACCATCAACGGAGAAGAGTCAAAAGAGGGACCCTACCCAGAGAAGCAGTGATGCCTGAGATGGAGGCAAAGACGATGACGTAGAGCAATTGAGCAGCTGGAGACTTTAGATCCAGAGAGGGAGAGGAACTGTGTGCTGAAGACCCGGGAGGTGTAGGGGGCAGGTTTGCAGGGTATACCCTTTCGTTGGTTGATGATGCATGGAGGGGATTGTAACCATGGTAATGAGACGATATACGATAGAATGAATGTAAAACTAATGTTCTCCCATGTAAACCATCACATAATTCACAATAAAACACTTAAGAAAAAAAAAAGTTAAAAAAAAACTTTGGCCATGGATAGGTGTGATGGTAGGCAGCATGGGGTGTGTGGTTGGCATGACTGGTTGCACATGTAAAAATGACTGAAATGGCTAATGCTTTGTTTTGTATATATTACTAAAATAAGAAAAGAGGAAGCTCCTAAAAAAGATCATAGGAATCTTTATGATCAAAGTTCACAAAATATGAAGCTCTTCTTTCTCAGTATCTCCTCCATATGGGTCAAAACACTTCAGATGGTGGTGTTTCCATATCTCTGACCCTTCCCCAAAGAATTCTGTGCTCTTCTATTCACACCACATCAAAATAGCATCTTGGGCATCCTTGAGAGAGGAGTTCAAATCGTGTTCCTTTGACATATTCTTTGAATTTGGGGAACAAAAAGGGCAAGATTAGGCCTGTAGGGTAGATGGGATAGTTTCCCAACAAAACTCTTGCAGGACAGCCCTTGCTCCCCTCAAAGAACGAGCAGATGCTTTATCGTAAGGAAAAGAATACCTCTGTGCAACTTTCCAGTCCTTTTTCTCATCACTGCAGTTTTTCCATTGCCTGAAACGTTCTTCTTCATAAATCTATTAAGATTACCCCTTTGCCATCCCCCAAAATGGTCTCCATAACCTTCTGAGCTGTCCTCTCTGCCTGAATTTAACTGGCCCAGAAGATCCTCCCTGTTTGGATTGGACTTTTTTTTTAAGGCATCTTAACGAGCCTACGACAAGTAGGCTGAGAGAACTTGTCTTCAGCCGTTATTGGTCACAAAGACACGTTTACATGGCTGTTCACAAACTTTTAGATTCCAGATATTACTCACCAAACTAGAATGTAGAACATGAACTTTTTGTACAAGGTTATGTCAATTGACTGAGTTGCCACCTAAGACTATGGTCCTACGCCCTGAAACCCAGTAACTAAATTCCACACGGTGTTTGCTTATGTTTAATAAATATCCATAACTGTGAAAAAAAAAAAAGAAAGGTGTGCAACAGGGTTGTATTCTTTCACCATACTTATTAAACCTGTATGCTGAGCAAATAATCAGAGAAGCTGGGTTCTATGAAGAAAAACATGGCATTAGGATTGGAGGAAGACTCATTAACAACCTGAGATATGCAGCTGATACAACCTTGCTTGCTGAAAGTCAAGAGGACTTAAGACATTCATTGATGAAGATCAAAGAGCACAGCCTTCGATATGGATTACATCTCAACATAAAGAAAACAAAAATCCTCACCACTGGTCCAATAAGAACAACATTCTTATCAATGGAGAAAAGATTGAAGTTGTCAAGGACTTCATTCTTCTTGGATCAACTATCAACACTCGTGGAAGCAGCAGTCAAGAAATCAAATGACATACTGCATTGGGCAAGTCTGCTGCACAAGACCTTTTTAAAGAGTTGAAGAACAAAGATGTCAGCTTGAAGACTAAGGTGCGCCTGACCCAAGCCATGGTATTTTCAATAACCTCATATGCATGTGAAAGCTGGACCGTAAATAAGGAAGACCGTAGAAGAACTGATGCATTTGAGTTATGGTGTTAGAGGAGAATATTGAAAGTGCCATGGGCTGCCAAAAGAACCAACAGATGTGTGTTGGAAGAAGTGCAGTCAGAGTGCTCTTCGGAGGCCAGGATGGCCAACGTTCGTCTCTCCTACTTTGGACATATTGTTAGGAGGAACCAGTCACTGGAGAAGGATATCATGTTTGATAAGGTGGAGGGTCAGAGAAAAAGAGGAAGAACCCCAATGAGATGGATGGCCAAGTAGCAGCATTGATGGACTCAAGCGTGGCAACAATAGTGAGGCTGGCCCAGGATCTAGCAGTGTTTCATTCTGCTGTGCATAGTGTCGCTATGAGTCAGTACCAACTCTACGGCACCTAACAACAACAACAAAGCACTGTAGGATTAACACTGGATTGTGAACCACAAGGTCAGCGGTTCAACCCACCAGCTGCTCCTTGGAAACCCTATACAGTATCGCTATGTGTTGGAACCAACTCCATGTCACTTAACAACAACAGCCAAGGATAGGAGTCCTGGTGGCATAGTGGGTTAAGTGTTGGGCTATGAATTACGTGGTCGGTGTTCACGTCTATCACCCACTCCACAGAAAAAAAGAGGCTTTCTGCTCCCATATTTGTAGCCTCAGAAACCCCATACAGGGTTGCTGAGTTGGAATTGGCTCAATGGCACACAACAGCCAAGAATATGAGTTTCTGGATGGTGCAAACAGTTAACATGCTTACTGCTAACAGAAAGGTTGGTGGTTTGAGTCCACCCAGAGGCTCTTGGAAGAAAGACTTGGCAGTTTACTTCTGAAAAATCAGTCACTGAAAATCCTATGAGTACAGTTCTACTCTGACACCATGGGGTCACCGTGAGTCAGAATCCACTCAACAGCAAGTGATATGATTTTTAACCAAGGATTAGGGGGGATTTATGGTTCAAAGGTAGAATTTTTACCTTCCATGCAAGAAACCCATGTTTGATTTTGGCCAATGCTCCTCATGTGAGGTAACCATGCATCTCAATGGAGGCTTATGTGTTGATGCTGAACAAGAAATCCTGGTGACACAATGGTTAAAGTGCTCAGTTGAGGAAGGAAAGGTCAGTGGTAAGAAAAGCCCTGGTGATCTAATCCTGTAAAGATTGTTGTTGTTGTTAAGTGCCGTCAAGTCAGTTCTGATCCATAGCGACCCTATACAGGGTTTCCAAGGCTGTAAATCTTTACGGGAGCAGAAAGCCTCATCTTTCTCCCGCAGAATAGCTGATAGTTTCAAACTGCTGACCCTAAGGTTCGCAGCCCAATTCGTAACCACTACACTACCAGAACAGTCTGGGAATCCTATGGGACAGTTCTACTCTACCCTACAGGGTCTCTCTCTGGGAGCTGGAATCCACTCTACACAGAGCAACACATGATGCTGACCAGATTTCAGCGGAGCTTCTGGACTAAGATGGACTAGGAAGAGTGGTCTGGTGATATACTTCCAAAAATCAGCCAGTGAAAACCTTTTATGGGTGACATGGGGACGGGGTAGCTCTAGGTCTGTTGCTCAGGGGGGTTCCCATGAGTCAGGGCGACTCCACAGAAGTCAACAAAAAAGCAATCAAGGATATTCTTTGGTATCTGAGCAATCCACAAAGCTTTTTCTGTTTTGATGTTCAATGGTGTGTCATGTACAAGAAAGGGCAAACTGTTCTGGATGGAGTTACTGGAGAAAATTTCCACAGGGCCCGGAACTCCCCCTGAAAAGACTCAGTTACAAGATACTCCCAGGTGCCCAGGAATCCTCTTCCCGCCTAAAGGGTTCAGTCCTCAGATTGTACTTGCAGGGAGCTGACCAGTTAAGGCAGGAGTCAAAGGTCACAGACCACCACTCGAGTGATGTCTTTTCCAGAGAACCCCACTACCCGCATCTAGTGCACCTCTGACCCTCCCACAAACTCTTCTGGCAACAGGAGCCAGGACCCGCCAACCCAAACCAGATTATATTTGTGAAGCCGGCCGGGAGACGTTTCGTGATTGGTAAGATGGAGTGGGGGCGGGACCTCAGTTAGAAAGTCTCCTCTGAATTGGTGCGAATCATGGAGGGTGTGGCCTCTTCTCCGGCTGGGCGCGAAAGCTCGAACGGGTCTGCGGAACTGGAGACGGCGGGAGCGGCTCGCTCTGGCTGAGGGAACGGGAGGTTGAAGAGTTCTGTGGAGGCAGGAACCATGACGGGCGAGGTGGTTTCTGAGGTGAGCATATACACAGCTCTTTAACCGGGGCTGCGGTTGCCAGGCACCGAGGGGTCGTACTGGAAGAAAGACTGGCAAAGCTTGGTTCGCCCTTGGTTGGAGGACTACAGTTCCCGGCGTGCAGTGCGCCAGCCCCGGCGGCCCCGTGGTGGTGGGGACTTGGCGGTCCCAGTGGTGGGCTCCCGCGCTTGGGGTCTGCTTTCTGACTGTGGTGCTTCTGGTCTTTGCTGCGTGCACGAGTGCCGCCGAACTCCTTTTCACCCCTTGGGTCACACCTGCCCTCCGCTTTGGCGCGTTTCTTGCCATTGAAGCCTTTTCCTCATACCCAAACTAACCCACTGCTTTCGAGTTGATTTAGATTCACAACGACGTTGTGGGACGGAGTAGAACTACCTCGTAAGGTTTCCAAGCCTGTAAATCTTTACAGAAACCTACCGCCACATCTCTCTCCCACAGAAGAATGGTGGGTTCAACCACCGACCTTTGGTTAACCATTGAGTCACCTGGACTCCTCTTCCTCCTACAGTGCCCGCAAAAGAGAGCAAGGCCCAGGCCGAACCAGTCCTCTGGATGTGGGGCAAGATTCTCCATAAATAGAAAGGCAGAGTGATAAAGACAAGATCCAACTCTGAGCTTGCAGAGCCTTGCTCGCTCCTTCATCCTAATTAATCATGACTTTGGTTCCAATACAAGTGACTGACCTATGAGCCATATTTGATTTTCTTTTTTAAAATATTGTATGTAGGAAAGTATTATTTCTCATGATTACTGAGTTTTTTGGGGTTTTTTTTGGGGGGGCAACTTACTAGGGCCTAGAATATCGATGTTTATGTGCTCCATTTAATTTTTGACAGCTTCCAATTTTCCTAGGTTCGTACTTTGTACATTCCATGTTCCAGTTTTTTTAATGGATCCTTGCAGCTGTTTCTCCTTATTTTGAGTTGAGCCTCATCCGCAAATTAATGTCATGAAAACTTTACTCCATTCATTTCATCATGGCCAACTCTACTTTGAGGAGACAGTTATTCCCCAGTCATATTTTGAGTGCCTTCCAACCTGAGGGGCTTCTTTTCTGGTACTATTATCTGACAATATTCTGGTGCTCTTCATCATGTTTCAATATTCAATACTCTGGTGCTATCTCACAGTGTTCCACTGTGATTCATAAGGTTTTCAGTGACGAAATATTTGGAAGTAATCCGCCTCTCCTTAGTCTTCCTCTGGAAGCTCATCTGAAACCTGTCCGCCATGGGTGATCCTACTAGTATTTAAAATACCGGTGGCATAGCTTCCAGAATCACAAACACACAAGCTCCTACAGTACGAGTGGTAGATGATAGAATTGTTGTTAAGTGCTGTTGAGTCGATTCTGACCCATAGCGACCTTGAATATGGTTTCTGAGGAGTAGCTGGTGAGTTTGAACCGCCAACCTTTGCAGTTCACATGGCTTTGCAGTCTGGCACATTAACCCACAGCGCCACACCAGGACTCCATGATAGAATTAGACTAGTACAGTTTTAGCAACCTCCAATGATATAGCATCAATGGCTGCTTACATCATAAAAACATCACATAACAACCAGGCATGTTTTACCTGAAAGAAGTATCCAAACACCACCTTTGAAGCATGTTTGCCCAAACAACCAAATCTGAATTTGATCATATCTAGAGAATCTGTCTATAGATCGAATGACCCAATTACAAGAAACAGAGGAGTATGTTAAATAATACCAGAGATGCAATTCAGAATGTGGAAAATTAGAAAATGAATAAATTCTACACACAAAAAAAGAGGAAGAGTAACATGTATGTTAGTGTTAAAATGGATGTCAATAGAATAAGGAAATTAATACTGTTCACTCACAACGTGGTTCTGGATTTGATTCCTGAAAATAAAAGTACTGACTATTACAGATCTCTTTCACTCAAGATCCCAGTAATTTCATACTGCACAGAAATATGCAGACTTTGTATCCTGATTTAAAAAAAGAAAAAGTACAAGTCAAATGAATCTGAATACTGATTGTTGTTGTTAAGTACTGTGGAGTCAGTTCCAACTTATAGTCACCCTGAATGGGGTTTCGAGGCTGCAGATCTTTATGGAAGCAGAAAGCCTCACCTTTCTCCCGCAGAACAGCTGGTAGTTTTGAACTGCAGACTTTGAGGATAGCAGCCCGATTCGTAACCACTATGCTACCTGAATGCTGATTGTTGTTGTTGTGAAGTGCTGTTGAGTCGGTTCCAACCCATAGCCTCTAGAAATTGTCAGAGTCCCTGGGTAGTGCTTGACTACTAACCAAAAGGTTGGCAGTTCAGACCCAAGCAAAAGCAGAGATTTGCTTACGAAAAGTCACAGCCTTAAACCCCTATACAGTTCTACTCAGCAGTTCTACTCAGCACACAGTGGTGTTACTTTAAGTCTGAACCTAACATATTTACAAAACCCTCTGGTAGGAAATTCATTCCTTCAGTGTGATGTACTGAATTTCTAACATGGTTTGGCCCGAATGACATACTAATACAGGAAAACCTGTGAGAGTTGGAATATGACAGAACTGTGTTGTTTTTCTGATTCTCATTAAGATTTCTGCCTTTGTTAGGGGTGTAGTCTTGGCACTTCTCTGTTGTTTGTTTTAGTGTACATTTTTTAGTTCTCCTTCTCCACTTTATCCATATTCTGGCTTTTACATGTTTTACTATGTGTGAGACCTATGCATAAAATTTGGACCAGAATCCCACTAAGATTGCTATAGAAAAGAGGACTTAAAAAAGCTGTAAATGTAAAATCTTATGTTTAGGTTTTAGAAAACTCACCTGTGTAATATAGGTTGAGTGATCTGGATACATTTTCCAGGGAGTTTAGTTGACTGTGGGTCCCCATGAGTCAATCGATTAGATGACAACTGGTTTGTTTGATTTTGTTTCTTTGTTTTCATTGTGAACCAACTCGGCTGAAATCTGAACCACAGACACATCTATGTCTATGGTTCTATATGTCTCGTGTTCAGAAACATTGCCAGCCCAGAGTTACAGGGAGTTCATGAGTACCTGAAATTGTATGCATCTCCCCCCGGCCCCTGAAAGAGTCCAGGTGTTTATCAACTAACCAGAGGAATTTCTGTCCCCTAAAAAATTGAATCAGTCACTATAGGCCAAAAATGACGCTGATTTTTAAAGTGGTATGTGTTAGGAAAGGAGCTCTGGTAGTATAGTGGTTACAAATTGAGCTGTGAACCGCAAAGTCAGCAGTTCGAAACTACCAGCTGTTCCTTGGGAGAAAGATGAGGCTTTCTGCTCCCGTAAAGATTTACAACCTCAAAAACCCTGTACAAGGTCGCTAGGAGTTGGGAACCGACTCCACGGCACATAACCACCACTACCATATATGTTAGGAGTCCTGGTGTGGCACTGTGGGTTAATAAAACCCTGTATAGGGTTTTCGAGGAGCAGCTGGTGAACTGCTGGTCTTGCAGTTCAAACGGCTTTGCAGTCTGGTGCATTAACCCACAGAACACTGATTAGATATGTTATATTAAGCAGTAATTCTAAATTTTTTAGGTGTGGTAATAGTTTTGTAGTTAGTTTTATTTATAAAGCTATTGTCTTTTAGAGATGCATATGGAAATATTTGTGGATAAAATGATACCTGGGATTTGCTTCCAAATAATCTAGTGACAGAGGAAGTAGGTGAGGGTATAGATGAAACAAGATTGATCATGATTTGATGATCATTGAAATTCGCTGATGGGTTCATTACACCAATCTATTTTGTCTATGTTGGGATATTTCCAAATAAAACATTTTAAAAAGTCACAAATAAAAATACCTGATGAGAAGGAATGTGCTGGGTGACTTGACCAGTTATGACAAAGTTGACCTTAAATGCCAGGTCTTCTACCTCCTGGTATTCTCAGGGTGTTGAATCAAAAGTTTTTAATAAGGAGGTAAATATTAACATCTACTATGTGGTTACGAATTGGGCTGTGAACCGCAAGGTCAGCAGTTCGAAACTACCAGTTGCTCCGCGGGAGAAAGAGGAGGCTTTCTGCTCCCGTAAAGATTTACGGCCTTGGAAACCCTGTACAGGGTCTCTATGAGTCGGAACTGACTCCACGGCACATAACAACACAACAGCAACACTATCTAATAGGGCATAAGGCCTCATCCTGTTTCTCAAATAACTACTGATTTGAATGCTTAGATTAGAAAAACTCTTAAATTGATTTAAACCCAAGATAACAAGTAGAGGACATGCTGTTGATGCTCTGAACAATCCCAAGTGGTAAGATTATTAGTCCATTTCTCAGTGCTGTGTTTGGGTAAGTACACAGCTTAATATGGATTAATCATTTTTCCACTCTAGTCTATTGACAGCAGTATCAGCAATAGTCTTAAGACAGGGCCAGGAAAATTAAAGCAAGTCCATAAGAGCAAAAATATGACCTTGAACATATCCCACCTGAATTTAGAAATCATCTCAAGAACAGAATGGATGCATTAGAAACTAATGACTGAAGACCAGAAGAGTTGTGAGATGACATTAAGAACATCATATAGGCCCAGTGAAATAGGCCTCTTGCAGAGTCTTTGCAGAGTATAGGACCTTAGGTAAAATCCTGAGTCCCATCCAGAACCTTCTGAGGTGGGACATTCCCACTAGCAAGGTCAGCTAGACCAGCTTGGAACAGCTAGACAAACAGAAATACATCTTCTAAGAAAGATGATCAGAAAAACCCAAAACAAAAATGTCAGCATAACTGGCTACTACAAGAATAAGCAAGATGTTCACCAAGAAGCATCAAGGCAAGCAATCAAGTTCCTTCAGGACAAACTCCCCTCTAAGACTGAAACTCAAAGGGACCACGCGAACAGGCATGCAAACTTGCTAGTGACCACATTGGTCTACTGGTGAGTGGAAGAGGGGGAAAGGCAGCAATGAAGACATGGGCTGAGTTTAACCACAGTCCATTGACTCCTGTTGACCTGGAGATGAGAGAGAGAAGAGGAAGGTCTGGTCGGTCCAAAGTGTAGTGAGACTTGGGGACTCTTGAGCCCATGGACAAGGACATAGCCACAGAGAGCTAGAGCTGAGGGTGATACATCCAGCTGATATGAAGTGAGGGCAGATGTACAAGAACACCCAAACTTGCAGACAGTACCCATTTGATGTAGTCTCGATGGCTTGATAATCAGAACTCAACTAGAGGAAGATTAAAAAAAAAAGTTTTGTTTTGATAAAGGAAACAAGGGTAAATTGCTACAATTTGATGAACCTGACCTTTACTTATGGCGGTAGTAACTCTACCCATAGAGAGGGAAGGAGTCTTCACATCAAGTATCAGTGGTATCCCCTCTGTACACAGGGTAGATAGGGATGGGCAACTTAGACATTGGCTATCTAAAATGAGGGAGCAATAAAGGCACGAAGTGACTGGCTTACAAGGTTTCAAGAGAGAGTTTAGTTTAAGAGTATGGGGGGGTGCGGAGGAGAAAGAGTCCCCACTGATTAGTTTTCATCTTGTCTAGATGGGTCTAGTTAAAAGAGATGGGGATAAGATTCATATGGTTCAATAGTGATAATTGTTCAATAGTGATAAAAGAGATGGGGATAAGATTCATATAGTTCAGTCATGACTAATTGCAACTGTCATAATTTTGTAACAAAAACAGGGGAGTGGTTAATCTTACAGTCCAGAAACAGAGGACCCTAGGACCATTAAGGGAGAAGAGCACAAGCAGAATGCAGGACCTTGTCCAGAGAAGCAGTGACACCAGAGACAGAGGCAGAGATGGAGTCATGGAGAGGGTGAGCGGCTGAGGACTCTAGATTCATGGAAGAGAGTGACTAAAAGCTGGTGGTCAGGAGGCAGAATTTGCCCTTTGGAGATGTAAATTACTATATATGCCTGAGTGTTGTTTTTTTTTTTTAAAAAAAAAAGCTAAAGTGAATAGAGAGAAATACTGTTAACTTATGGTACATGGAGGGGACTATAATCATTGTAATGAAACAAGGTGTATGATTTGTTGAATGTAAAACTGATGATCTGCCCTGTAACTTTTCATTCAATCTACAATACAAACCTTTAAAAAAAAAAAAATTGAAGAGTTAACACACTCACAAAAAAATAACATCATATAGGAAGAAAACAAAAAGGTCATTAAAAAGACAAAGAGAAAAAGACCAAAATTGATATCAGAAGAGATCTGAAACTTGTTCTCCGGCATAGAGATGCTAAAACAAATGGAAGAAATGGAGATGTAAAAGAGTTGAATCAAAAATTTCAAAGGGTAGCTTGAAAAAAAAAAAAGTCAAATATTACAATGAAATATGCAAAAGATGTGGAGTTAGAAAACCAAAAGGAAAGAACACCTTCAGCATTTTTCAAGCTGAGGGAACTGAAAAAAAAAACTTAAACCTTCACTTGCAATATTGAAGGACTCTGTGAGCCAAAGAAGATGGAAGAAATACACAGAGACATTGTGTCAAAAAGAAATGGTTGATATTCAACCATTTCAAGAGGTAGCATATGATCAAGAGCCAGTGTTACTAAATGAAAAAGTCCAAAGTGCTCTGAAGGCATTGGCAAAGAACAAGGCTCCTTGAATTGATGTAATACAAATGGAAATCTTTCAACAAACTGATATGGCTCTGGAGGTACTCACTTATCTATGCTAAGATTTTTTGAAGACAGCTATCTGGTCAACTGATTGAAAGAGATCCATATTTGTGTTCATTCCAAAGAGAGGCGACCCAGCGGAACATGGTACCCATCGTACAGTGTCATTGATATAACATGCAAGTAAAATTTTGCTAAAAATAATTTTTAAATGGCTGCAACAGTACATTGACAGGAAACTGCCAAAGGTTCAAGCTGGATTCAAATGAGAATATGGAATGAGGGATATAATTGCTGATGTCACATGGATCTTGGCTGAAAGCAGAGAATACCAGAAAGATGATTACCTGTGTTTCATTGACTACACAAAGGCTTTTGATTGTGTGGATCATGACAAGCTGTGGACAACATTGTGGGAAATGTGTATTCCAGAACACTTAATTGTACTCAAGAGGGACCTGTACATAGACCAAGAGGCAGTTACTTGACCAGTACAAGAGAACGCTGAATGGTTTAAAATTAGGAATGGTGTGCTCCAGGGTTATATTCTCTCACTATATTTATTCAATATGTATGCTAAGCAAATGATTCGAGAAGCTTGGTTATAAGAAGAAAAATGCAGTATTAGGATTGGAGGAAGACTTATTAACATTGCAATTCGCAGATTATACAACCTTGGTTGCTGAAAACGAAGAGGATTTAAAATACTTATTGATGAAGATCAAAGACCACAGCCTTTGGTATGAGTTGCACCTCAATGTGAAAAAGAAAAACAAAAATCCTTATCACTGGAACAATAATTAACATCCATAAATGGAGAAAAGATTGAAGTTGTCAAAGATTTCATTTTGCTTGGAAGCAGTAGTCAATAAATCAAATGACATATTGTATTCAGCAAATATGTTGCACAAGAGTTCTTTGAAGTGTTCAAGAGCAAAGATGTCAGTTTGACAACTGAGATGCACCTGACCCAAGCCAAAATATTTTTGGTAACCTCATATGCATGTGAAAGTTGGACAATGAATAAAGAAGACTATGAAGATGATGCATTTGAGGTATGGTGTTGGAGGAAAATATTGAAAGTACCATGGACTTCCAGAAAAACAAATCTGTGTTGGAAAGTATGGTCAGAATGTTCATTAGAAGCCAGAATGGCCAGATTTCGTCTCTCATGCTTCGGATGTATTATCAGGAAGGACCAGTCCCTGGAGAAGGACATCATACTTGGTAAAGTGTAGGGACACAAAAAAAGAAGAAGACCCCCAACAATATGGATTGGCACAGTGGCACCAGCAATGGGCTTAAACACAGCGAGGACTATGTGATTGGCCCAGGACCTGGCAGTGTTTCATTCTGTTGTGCATAGGGTTGCTATGAGTCAGTACCAACTTGATGCAACCTAACAATTCTGTCATTTCTTCTTCATTGACTAGCTAGGATCTTTCTCTAAAGAGAAACTCCCCCATAGCAATCTTTTCGATACACTGAGGAACAGTTCACACAGGAAAAGCATAATGCATGTTGATTCTTTTCATTACATACCATTTTCAAAGTAAACTGTCAAAGACCTGTTGCTGTTAGAGACTCAACAATTCCAACTCATGTGGTGCTGTAGGATAATGTACTGGATCGCAAGGTTGGTTTGAACCTCAAGATTGGTAGTTCAAACTCATCAGCCACTCCTCAGAAACCCCATACAGGGTCGCTATGAGTCGGAACTGATTTGCTTTCACATGCATAGTCATGGTATTTTTTATTGCTTTATATGTCTTCAAATGTACATCTTTGCTTTTTAACCATTTAATGAGGTCTTTTGCAAGTAATTTGCCCAATGTAATAACATCTTTTGATTTTTTTTTGGACTGCTGTTTCCAAAGTCATTGATTGTGGATCTACGTAAAATGAAATCCTTGACAACTTTAATTTTTTCTCTGGTTATAATGTTTATTGGTCCATTTGTGAAGATTCTTTTCTTTATATTGAGGTGTAATCCATATTGAAGACTATAGTCTTTGGACTTCTATCAGTAAGTGCTTCAAGTTTTTTTGCTTTCTCCAAGCAAGGTGGTGGTGGTGTCATTTGTATATTGCAGGTGTTAATAAGACTTCCTCTAATCCTGATGCCATATTCTTCTTCATCTAGTCCAGCTTCTCATTTGATTCTGTAGCACTTAAAAAGTTACTGATGAATTTGTATTTGTTTTTTGTCTAGTAACTTTTTTTTTTAAGTTCTTATTGTAGATTGAGCAAAAGTTTACAGGGCAGATCCTATCAGTTTTACATTCAACAAATCATACAACTTGTTTCATTACAATGATGACAATCCCCTCCATCTACTATCCGTTAACAGTATTTCTCTTCTATTCATTTTAGCTCTTTTTTTTTTTTTAATACTCAGGCATATAATAATTTACATCACCAAAGGGCACATTCTGAAAGTCTGCTTCCTGGCCACCAGCTCTTAGTCCCTCTCTTCACATGAATCTTGAGTCCTCAGCCACTCCCCCTCTCCATGCCCCCATCTCTGCCTCCATCTCTGGTGTCGCTGCTTCTCTGGATAAGGGCCCACATTCCACTTGTGCTTTTCTCCCTTGATGGTCCTAAGGTCCTTTGTTTCTGGACTGTAAGAGTAACTACTCCCCCATTTTTGTTACAAAACTTCTACCTTTACAATTGTGACAGTTGCAATTCATCATGATAACAGTTACTCTAATGTCATCCTTTCATCAAATCATTATAATGGTCCCTTCCTTTTTTCCTTTCTGGTGATTCCATGATGTTTTTTTCTGTTAGTATGTGCTTGGGACATTCTGTCACCTGCTGCCTAATGCAAAGTCTGTTCACATTTTGTAGGTTCACCTTGAAATTAATGATCCCAAACTAATTTTACAAGAAGCAAGTAGTCCTCCAGACAGTGGACAAGGCAGCTGTGAAACAACTGGAGGCTTGAGTGAAAGAGGTTTGTAAAATTCACTACTTTATTTTTAGGAATAGAATGTGAGACCCTGTATTGTTAGAGAATTGGATTAGTTTAATTTATTAAATAATTATTGCTGTATTCTTATTTATTTATTATAAAAGCAAAGTAACAGCCCATGTACCTTTTAGAAAATAGTAATTTCTGTTATATTATTGATGTAGGTGTGTAGGATCAGCACTGGACTGTGAACCACAAGGTCAGCAGTTCAAACCCACCAGCTGCTCCTCAGAAACCCTATAATGGGTTGCTGTGAGTCAAAACCAACTCAGTGTTACTTAAAAACAATAAAATGTCTACAAGCTACCACATTGCCTGGATGAATGCATTCGTTTTGGTTGAATAATAAAAGAATTTTTAACACTTTTCAGAAGATTCAAGCAACTATGTATGAGTCAACTTTACACATTGTAAATAGATACATAATTACATTTCTCAGTAAGTGACATTTTTTCCAAGGAAAATGTTTTCAAATGTATTTTTAGATTTGCTTTGCTACAATCAATTCTTAGTTGTTAGAGAATTTCACAGGTAATAATCACTTGTATAATTGAATATGTTTTTGAGGAGTAGGGTGACAAAGAGGTAGACTAAATGTATGATTTATTTTTTAAATTGTATTTCCTTCAGATTCAGACGAAGAGATTTTTGTGAGTAAGAAATTGAAAAGCAAGAAGGTGCTACAAGACAGTGACTCTGAAACAGAGGACATAAGTGCCTCTCCAGAGAACACTACCCATGACAATGCTGAGGAGGAAAATAAAGAGAACGTGTATGCTGACAAAGATGGAAACGTCAGGAGAATTTACAGACCTCTGGCTAACAGTGATGAGAGTGACATTGAGGAGTCTTTGTATCAGAAAAATCTTGAAACCCATGTGAGGCCTTGCTTAGAGATGGCTCTCCAATCTGAAAAATCTGCTGACTTTACAGTTGACAAAGTGATTTCCAAAAAATCCATACATGATAGAAAAGGAATTACTAGAGGAAAAGCAAAAGTAAAATCAAAGAGAAGACTTGAGAAAGAGGAAAGAAAAATGGAAAAAAATAGGCGGCTAAAAAAGAAGGAAACAAAAACTGAGGTTCCTTTCATTTTATTCATTTATTCATTTTAATGCCAGTTGACCTAGTTGTCCCTGAGTCCCCAAGCCCAGTGAGCCATTCCCTCAAGGTGTTTGGTTATAGCTAAGACATTTTCAGGACTTTAAATGGGGTATATTTTAAAGGACAGTTTGCTGTTTCTGAAGCTGATTAACATTTTCAAAAAATTTGCTTTTCATTCGTGAGATTGTTCCTGCCCTCAGAATATAGCTTTGAGTTGATTGCTCTTCATTGGGAGTAATGGGGTATATTGTTGAAAATTTGAATGAAAATTTGTTGGTCTCCTTCTCCATCCTGGACATGCAGAGACCTCCACATAAGTGGGTTTCTGATTTTCTTTTTAAATACATGGAGCAATTCTTTACTGTGCTGAATGGATGGAAATGAACTTTCAGTGGAGGATTGGAGGATTTTTCATGCATGCATCAGTCAGAGTTCTTGTCTGCTAACTAGAAAAAAACATCCGCAAGTTTCATAACTAGTCAGTAAATTTGGCAGTCCCTGGGTATACAGTGAAACCTGTGAGAGCCAGATGCAATTGGACTGCCTTATTTTCTAAGTTAGCAAGTTTCCCACCCTTGTCAGGGTACAGTCTTATCACTTTTCTATTGCTCATTTTAATGGAGAATATTTGAGCTTTCCTTCTCTGACAAGTTTCTGCCTTATATATGTTCTGGCTTTTGAAAGTTTTACTGTAGTTAACGTGCTTGACTGCTAATTGAAAGGTTGGAGGCTTGCGGCCATCCAGACGCATCCTGGAAGAAAAACCTAATGATTGATGTCTAAAAATTCAGCCACTGAAAATCCTGTGGAGTACAGTTTTACTCTGGCATCCATGGAGTCACCAGGGGTCAGAACCAAGTCCATGGCAACTAATTTTTAATAAGTCTTCAATGGACTTAAAAAAAAAAAAGTTAATGGTTATTAATTATTTTGGACATTACATAAAATCATAGCTTGCACTTCAAAGGATAACTGTGGATTCAGAACCACTGAAAATGTTCTAGAATGCCAGATACTTGTCAGTTGATGAAATACAGACTTTTTCTGGCCAGATCCAATTTGCTACATGGTGTTTTGTAATACTGGATTCTAAAATAATTGGGTTCTGTTTTTCCTGTATACATTATTCAGGAAGAGGATGTCAAACAGCCATTTAATGACAGTGGCTGTCTTCTTGTGGATAAAGATCTTTTTGAAACTGGATTAGAAGAAGAAAATTCTTCATTGGAAGATGAAGAGTCATTAGAATCAATAAGGGCAGCTGTAAAAAGCAAAGTAAAAAAGCACAAGGCAAGTAAAGCTGCTTCTAACCTTTGTTTTATTTTTTGATGTACGGTTGTAACCTTTTCATTTTTTTTAATCTTAAGAAATACAGCTGCTAATTTTAGAAGCTTGCAGTAAAGAGTTATGTATGCTAACTTGTTTGGAAATTGTTACTTTGTTATTGCTCTTCTAGGAATGTTCAGGAAAAAGTAAGATCCTTTATGTTTTGATAAGCAGGTAAATAATACATTTTACAATTCTATGGATTTCTCGTGTGGTGCTGTAGTATCAGCACTGAACTGCGAACCACAAGATCGGCAATTCAAGCTCACCAGCTGCTCCTAGGAAACCCTGTACAGGGTTGCTGTGGGTTGGAATCCACTCCACAGCACTTAACAACAACAACAACATGGACTCTAAGAAATTAACCCGATAAGGTTTTAGGAAGGGAATCAAAGAGAAGTAATAATCAAAATGTTTCCCTGCCTGAGTGTTTAAAAGCATAATTGTTCTTCCTAAGAGTGCTTTAGCTTCTTGGGAATCATTGGTCCTTTTAAAAAGGAGGCTTGGTGTGGTGCTGTAGGATAAGTACTGAACTACTAACTACAAAGTTGGTCATTCAAACCTACCAGCCCATCCTTGGAAACCCTATACAGCCTCATTATGTGTAAAATCTGACTTAATGGCACTTAACAACAACAACAAAGGCATAGGAAATGAGGGTTCAAGCTCTTTTTGATTTGTTTTCTGGGCATTATAGGATGCTGCGTGCTTAAAATTTTCTTTGGATAATTATTTTTAATGTAGCATAATGTGATGGAATGTAAAAACAGCATTAGAGTAAGAGACATCGTCTTGTTTCACTTTAGTTTTTGTCCCTACTAATCAGTTTTCTGTTATAGGAAAAGGAATCCTCTTTGGAGAGTGGGTTCTATTCATTTGAAGAAGAAAGCAAATTATCAGAAGGCTCCATGAGAAAGGTGAGGGAAAGCCCTATGTAGTCATTCTGCAGCCTTTCACCTCTTTCCGCAGGAGACTGTAGACTCCTTGGGATAAATATTTTATCTTATCTATCATAGTAATTTCTTGGTACCCAACATACTGTCTTGAACATAATAATGAATATGGATTGGACTGAATGCATTCTCTGTGACTTGCAAGTAAATGAACTCCTTGAGTTTACATTGTATTGAGTTTATTAGTGCTCACTGTTACCTCTCCATCCTCTTTTCTTGGAGAGAGAAAACTCTTAAAGAATGAATATCTGTGTTTCTGGACAATACCATTAATACTGTATCCCTTTCTGTTTTCTTTAAGGAAAGGAAGGCAGCCAAGTTAAGTAAGGAGGCACTAAAAAAGCTGCATAGTGAGACTCAGCGCCTTATTCGAGGTAATACAAATCAGTACAATAAACTTGAAGGCAAATCACAACATTTCTTTGTAAGCTCTATTTGGATATTGGGAATTTTTCTTTTTTGAACTCTTCATATGAGCTTAAGAATATAATATCAAGTTTAGAATTGATCTTGGTGAATGGACATTGTTCTAAAGGCCATGGAACATTAGTGCAAACTGAGTCTATTTTCAGAACTGTAGTGGAGGTAATGAGTAAGTTGGGGTTGTTTTTTTTTAAAATGGTTTTCTGTGGACTAATTGCCTCAGGATCTTTTTGGGAGCTTTTCAGATTTATAAATCCCCAGACCCCACAGAGGCCCAATTCAGTACATTTGGAATGGGGTCCAAGAATCTATATTGTAAAAATGCTTCTTGGATCATTTTGAATTCACCACAGGTTTAAAAGCTACTAGTCTCCAGGAAGCTTTATTTGTACTTAGCACTTCCCTTTGTGAGTGTGGTGATTGTTTTCTGTTTCTGGAAATGGCCTTGATTAACTGTTTTGATTAGTTAATGTGAAGTGATATTTCAGAATGGACAATATTTATATTTACTTGTTTTGTTCCATATTACAGAATCTGCACTTAATCTTCCATATCATATGCCTGAGAATAAAACCATTCATGATTTCTTCAAGCGTAAGCCCCGACCCACTTGCCAAGGAAATGCCATGGCATTGCTGAAGTAAGAACCTGCTTTTCTTATGATTATAATAATATTGAGAATTCAATTTTGTAGCAAACATCTGGCATAAAAAATTCAGATTCCTCACTCCCTTAAAATTGATTTAACTGTTTCAAACTCTAGCTCATTTTCCCTCTTTAGGTCATCTAAGTATCAGCCAGGCCATAACAAAGAAGTCATAAACACTACAAATACAACTGAAATGAGTAATGACTCCTATAACAAAACTTCTGAGCAGGCAACAGGCACAGAATGTGAAATGGAAATTAATTCATTCCTTGCAGCTTCAAAGGAACCTCGCATCACTACTGTATCAGATGAGTCTTACTCTAAGGATTTGGTGGAAAGTGAAGAGCTAGAAATTCAGGAGAAACAGAAACGAACTGATGCTTCTGGGGACAGCTCAGTGGAACCAAAGGAACCCAGCTTCCTAGGGACCAAGGAAAGCGAAGAGTATCAGGCCGGAGGGTTTGTGACGCCTGAACTTCATGCCCTGGAGGAAGTCAGAGACCTGAAAAAAACAGAAGCAGCAGATGGCAAAGTGGAAGAGCCCAGGCAGCAAATGAAACCAATGGCAGCTGTGCCACCTGAAAAAGTGAGACGGTTCACGCTGGATAGACTTAAGCAACTGGGCATAGATGTTTCCGTGAAGCCACGGCTGGGTGCTGATGAAGAATCCTTTGTGATACTTGATGAACCTGAAACCAACAGAGGTAATCCTTTGAATTGTGAGAAATCTCCCTGTTTATGTGACATCTTTTCAATTACTTGCAACTATGGAGGACAGAGAACACGGGAGAAATTTATAGGCACACAGATCTTATTCTACAGAGGTACCGGATACAGGTAGAACCCCATTGTAATAAGTTTGGCAGCATACCAGAGTGATCGAAGCCTTTTTTTAAATGGAAACCTGTAGATAGAAAATATGCAAAAGAGGTACATTGCTCTTCTATTCTGGGAGGGTGTGTGTCAAATCCTATTAAAATATTCTTAAAAACATTCAGTTTGTCACAGCTAAAGAGAACCATTTTGATTCAGTAAATTGTCTGCAAAACTGAATTGTTTTTCCACTCTGTCGACAAATATTAAACTGTCAACTATATGCAAGATAAGGAGCTCTAGTAGTGTAGTGGTTACGAATCGGGCTGCTAACCTCAAGGTTGGCAGTTCAAAACTACCAGCCATTCCGCAGGAGAAAGATGAGGCTTTCTGCTCCCGTAAAGATTCACAGCCTCGGAAACGCTGTTCAGGGTCACTGTGAGTTGGAACTGACTCCACGGTACTTAACAACAACAACAACATCTTCAAGATGCTGTTAAATAATGGGAAGAAAAAGGATAAGTATTCTTTGCTAAAATAAATAATAAGAATAAAGTCCTATGGAAGTTCAGAAGTAGGATAAATTACTTACACAAAACAAAGAACTACCAATCCACTTGTCATCAAGATTTCAACTCATGGTGACTCCATATGTGTCAGAATATAACAGAGCTCCATAGGGTTCTCAGTGGTTGGTCTTTCATAAGGAGATTGCCAGGCCTTTCTTCCTAGGTATCTCTGGGTGGACTCAAACTGCCAGTGTCAAGTGCTTAGCAGCTGAGCACTTAACCATTTAATCCAGAGACTCCAAATAGGTGTAATTCGTGTACTATCAAATTGGTAAACTTCCTTGCCTCCCTTGGATGGAGTTGGTCCTCTCTCCTGTGTTCACGCAGTGTGACATGATAGGTAAGCCTGGCTCCATAGCCCGAGCCGCAGTTTAAATCAGGACTTTGTTACTTATCTAACTTTGCTATGTTATTTTACCAAGAGTTGCTAAATCATCTTTTTAAAAAGAGAAAATAATAGCACTATCTGGCTCACAGGACTATCCTGAATATACATTGAAATAATTCATACAAATGGATAGCAGAAAGAAGCACACTTAGAAAGTGGCTACTGCTTCTATTTTTGTTAATGAAATTGTTCACATCAAGTAGCTTTCATTAAACAGTTTATTGTTGGCAGGCGCTGTGACAGCCACAGTGTTTGGCATGTGAACTATGCTCAGTGAGTCTTTGTTGACTGGATGGACTTTTCAGAAATACAGAGAAGGTCATTCTTGGAAGGAACAGAAAGAGCCGTACACAGTGCGTGTTGGGAGGATACGTAAGTCAGTTTCACAGAGCAGGAGGTGAGGGTGAAGGGATTATGTAACAAAAACTAGCATACCTCCTTTAGCAAAAAAGCATGAGCATGAGTAGTTACCTAAAACACTGAGGGTTAAATTTTGTTACATGAAACTGACAGTTAATCTGAACAGTTTCAGAGTAAGAGGTATGGGAAGAAAGCTTTTTGAGTACCGAGTTGTGGTGTGGCCCTGTAGGATAAGCACTCTACTGCAAGGTTGGTTTGAACCGCAAGGTTGGTGGTTCAATCTCTCCAGTAGCTCCTCAAACTCTATACAGGGTTGCAATGAGTTGGCATTGACTCAACGACACTTAACAACAATAAACTAGATGCTAATAGATTCTTTTTCAGTTATTTTTGTTAATTCTCATAAGGCGCCCTGGTAGCTCAGTGGTTAAGTGCTTGGCTGCTAACTGAAAGGTCAGCAGTTCGAAACCATCGTCGCTCCACAGGAGAAAGGGATGGCAGTCAGCGTCCATAAAGAGTTCAGCCTTGGAAATGCTTTGAGGCAATTCTACTCTATCCCCGAGGGTCACTATGAGTTGGACTCAATCCTGGGGCTACAGGTTAATTCTCATAGCCCCAAGTATTATTTTGCAAATGAAGAGAGTAAAGATTTTCAGAGGTTAGATCATTTCTCCAACATTCTACTTGGTTTATTCTGGGACTATAGCACAGTCCTCGGCACAGTAGGCACTTATTCTGAACTCAGAACATATTTTCCTTTAGAAAAAATATTTGACATGAAAGTTGGATTTCCAAACTACACCTTTCCATGACATATATGTGACTGAGCATGAGTTCATTTATGAAATGAACTTTTAATTAGTACTGTTATGTGAGATACAAGGGGGCTTTAAAAAGTTCTTTGAAAACTCCTGTTACCTTTTCTGTAGTTTTATTTTTAAATTTTGTATTGTGAATTGGGTGAAGCAGGTCATCAGTTTTGCATTTAACACTCCATTTAATCTCATGGGTTACTAGCCCTTCAGTGTAACATCACTTCTCCCACTTTCTCTGTGTATTTCTTGTCTCCCTTCCTCCTTCCTTCTCAACCTTTCTGAATTTTGCCCTTAAGTAAATGCTACCCTTTTGATCTCAAATTGTTGACCATTCTATGGTGTGTGCACCTCACTAATATTGTTCCTCCTCCTGTTGTTGTTGTTAAGTGCTGTCTAGTTGGTTCTGACTTATAATGACCCTGTATAAGGTTTCCAAGGAGCAGCTGGTGGGTTTGAACTATTGACCTTGTGGTTCACAGTCCAGTGCTGATCCTACAGCACCACACCAGTAGTTCTGTTACTATGGGAGTGAGTTCAGCTCTAAACCTAAATGGTGACCAAGGGCAATAGACTTGGGGTTCCACCAATCTCTGTATGACCAGTAAACCTAGTCTTTTTTTTATGATTTTCAATTTTATTCCACATTTTCTCTCACTCTATCCAGGACCTTCTAATGTGATCCCTTTAAGAGTAGCCAGGCACCATCTAGTTCTGGTTTGAGGGTTATTGGAGACAGATGTTTCCATGGACCATTAGTCCAGTGGGCTAATTGTTTCCTTGCATCTTCAATTTTCATCACTCTTCTTTCCTCTGGACAGGGAGAGACCAATAAGACCTCAACTGCTACTCACCAATGTAGGATGTAGAACATTGTCTTTGTGGACTATATTATACCAGTTGACCCTGATGGTCCTCCCCTGAGACTATAGTCCTGAGCCCCTTAAGATGTTTGGTTAAACTTCCATTATCTTTTAATTCTATTTTTTCACGATTTTTTTTAAACCACCCCATATGTACTACACATAGTCACTGCTCTCAAAAGTAGTAGGAATGGCAGATAGAAACACCATTACAGTGCTAACTGATGGGTGCTATGGTCAAGGTATGCACTGTGGTGAGTCCAGTGGGAATCCAGGTGAGGGGTACTTCACTTGAACTGGGGGTGTTAGTAAAGCTTCTGCAAAGAGCTGATGCCTGAACTGAGTCCTGAAAGTTGAGTAGGTGATCCCAAGGCAGAGAGGTGAGGGGACCTTTCTTGGTGGAAGGGCTAGACTTGTAAATGGTACAGAGACAAGAGAAAGCTGGGTGGTTGAAGTGAAGATTGTGAGGGGGATTGGAGGACAGGGGTGAGCAGAGGACAGGTCATCTTGAACTTTTAAGCCATATTGAGAACTTTTTGTTAGTAGAGGACCATTGAAAGGATTTTAGAAAGAAAAATGACCCAATCAGATGATCATTTTAGGAAGTTCAATCTAGTGGCTACTGTGGCAAATGCATTGGAAAAGATTAAGAAGCAAGGCTGTGGGAAAAACTCAGTTTCCTTAACTTCATATAGAATAAGGTTTCCATGAGAAAATGCATGTAGATTTAAAATTTGGTGTGGTGCTATAGGATAAACACTGGACTATTAACTACAAGGTTGTTGATTTAAACCCACTAGTCACTCCTTGGATGCCCTATACAGGGTCTCTGGAGTCAGAACCAACTCAACAGCACTTAACAACAACAGAAATGTGTTACTCCTGTTCTTTGCAATAGCATAGGATGTAGTCCATGCCTTCTTTTCCTCTACTTTCTGGCTAAAATCAGAGGGGATGAGAATAGTCTTAGATCCAAGCTTCTGATGGATACGTGAGCTGGGGCAGAGACTTCACTTAGAGAGAAGAAAAGTGCTGGTAGAAGACAGAGAGGATCTTGAGCAGCGACTTTAGGATTTGGAGTACAATGGTCAAATCACATAATAAAGGGCAAGAAAAGTGGGTGCTCCAGTAGATGGGAGCGTGAAGAACTGTGAGGGTTCTAGCTCTCTGCAGATATGAACCAAAGCAGCTTCTGCTTCAATGTTATTTTAGATTCCAAGGAATTGCCCTACCCACCCTGCTTTTCTTCTATTCTGTCAGCACCAATGATGACCTACGTATTTCTTTCCCTTTCCACTGTCACTACCTTATTACCTGACTACTATAAAACAGGAGGCAGATCTATAGCTTGTCTCTCTACTCTTGTTTGTGATGTAAACATACAACCCTTTGGAGCTTATTTTTTGCTGTTAGGGTTTCAAGATGAAAAGAGTCCCTTCCAGTTCTCTTTTTCTACTAAGTCTTTCTAGGGAAAGAAATAAACTACATGTAGTAGAGCCCTGGTGTGGTGCTGTAGGGTAAGCACTAGACTGCTAATCACAAGGTCAGCAGTCAAACCCACCAGCTGCTCTTGGAAACCCTATACAGGGTTGCTATGAAGTGGAACTGACTTGATGGTGCTTAATTAACAACAATATATTTTAGTAAGATTGCTAGTAAGTAATGAAGTATTCAAAATGAATTAAAAAGAAGAGACTGAAATCCTTGAAAAATTAAGCCCTTTAATAGTTGAAAATCATGTTTGTTTCTACCAGTTTAATACATTTTTAAGACTCTAATGTATACATATATTTAACAACTTCCATTGTAAATTTCTATTTTAAAAGTCTGTTGGTTTTTGAAACATCAAGGAAGGACAGTTGTAGCAACTTGTTAGTATGGACTGAAGTTGTGTGAATTTAACATAAGGCGTTAGTAGCAAAGGGATTTTTGCTTTCTCTGTGTGTGTGATGTGTTCTTCCCTTCCCTGTAAAACTTAGCTTTTAATTCTTAACTAGTATCTTAAAGGAAAGAGTTTGAGCATCACAAACTGACAACTTCATTGGCATTTGATTTAGATCTGGAAGCCTTGAAGCAGCGATTTTGGAAGCATGCTCATTCAACTGCCAAACCCAGAGCCAGTCAGAAGGTGAATGTCAATGTCATTGTGAAAGACGTGGGCATAGATGGAAAGGAAGAACTAAAGGCAGATGTGGTACCTGTGACTTTGGCAGCTGAAAAACTGGATGAAACAAGCCACACCAAGCCAGGTATTTGAGTCCACAGGTTTTTGCCTTTTGTTTTGTGCTTTGACGGCTCTATTTGGCTTCTGAAGACCCTATGGTGAAAAGTTATGGAATCTTTTTCTTTGAAACTTGGCATAGTAGACTGTTAATACATCTGTCATGATTCATATGTAACATTGCCTCAAGGTGTGGGGTGGACAAGATGGCAGTATTTCTTAAAATAACATTTGTCTTGCTATAAAAAACAATATGTATCCATTATAGAAAATACACGGAATAAGTGAAAAGCATTCACTGTCCTCTACCAGAGACAACTACTATAATCATTTTTGTGTATCTGTCCTTTTAAACCCATTTCCTAGTATATATGTTTGTGTCTATTTCTTAAAAAAACTAAAATGTGATCTTACCTTGCACACTGCTTTGTAATCTGTTCTTTTTTAATGCATTATATTACAGACCCCCAACACTGAAACTACAAATAATTTATAGAATAAAGTTAAAACACTAGAAAACAGAGTATAAAGTTAGTAATTAGTCTTCCTAAAATTTTATATGTACTATAAATAGTCTTTTGTGTGTCTTTCTAAGAAAAGCTGCATGCATATACATGTATGTGTGTGTTAGTGGACACTTATCCTCTGCCAGGCACCTGTGATAGGTGCTTGACATGCTTTATCTAATTTAATCCTCACAACCTATCAGGTAGATAGCATTATATCCTCGTTTTGTACATGAGGAAACAGATACACAGCATTTAAGCAACTTGCTAAAATATACAGCTAACTCCATGGAACAGATACTTAAAAACCTCATTATATTGCTTTTGAGTGCTTTTAACTTCTGTGCAATGTCCTACTGTATGGATATAAAATTATTTATTTAATCACACTCCTATTGATGGACATCTTGTTTGTTTCAGTTTTTTATTATTTCATACAATATTGCTTCCTAATATCTTTATGTTGGTATACCTGGATGGAAAATTTGTTGCACTGTAATTGTTTAATCAAATTTTGATACGTGTCCAAATTGTCCTTCAAAAAGATTGTATCAATTTATGCACTAAGTTCCAGTATCTAAGTTTTCCTCTTATCAGTAGTGGATAACACTATTATTTTTAGTGATGTATATTGTTAAATCTTCCCATTTTTGTCAAACTAATAAGTAGAAGATAGTACCTCATTATTTTGATTCTTGGTGTGGCACTATGGGTTAATGAGCTGGACTTCCAGGTCAGTTTGAACCACAGGGTCAGGAGTTCAAGCTCATCAGCTGCTTCTTGGAAGTCCTATACAGGGTCGTTATGAGTTGGAACTGACTCAACAAAACTTAACAACAATAATTAAGGTTAAGCATTATTTTTCATTTATTAATATGAATTTACTTTTTCTGTGAACTACCAGTTCATATTCTTTGTTCACTTTACTCTTGAGTTGTTTGTCTTTAATGTAGATAAATTTATCAATGTTTTCCTTCATGGCTTCTGAGCCAGAGACTTGGCGCTTCCGCTTCCTTTGTTTTGTTTTCTGTCACAATGATTTTATAATACTTGAGTGATGTATTATACCAAGCTGTAGGACATTAATTGTGGGCATTCTCTTCTACACTTCAATTAATAATAATCCCCATTTGTTAAGTAAAAGCCAAGTGTACTAAAGTCCCTAGTTTTTAGAGGTGGATGTGATTGGAACACTTCTGGAGTTGCCTAAAATGCATACTTATGTAGCATGCAGCCTGTGATTATATCTGATGCATTTCTACCTATTCCTGTTCAGCTGAAAAGCTTCAAGTGTTGAAAGCTAAACTGCAAGAAGCGATGAAACTACGAAGACTTGAGGAGCGTCAAAAGCGCCAAGCATTATTTAAATTAGATAATGAAGATGGGTTTGAGGAAGAGGAGGAGGAAGAGGAAGAAATGACAGATGAATCTGAGGAAGATGGAGAAGAGGAGGTAGAAAAAGAAGAGGAGGAAGAGGATGAGAAGGAAGAGGATAAAGAAGCCAATCAGGAGGTCTAGAGCAATTGTATAATTTAGTTACCTTTTTAATATCTGCTCTTAAGACATAGAAGAAAAAAAGAAAGTCAAATTTGTGTAAGAGTAGACTACCTGCATCTGCTGTTGTCCATTCCAACCTATAGCAACCCTAAAGGATAAAATAGAACTGCCCTTTGGGTTTCTAAGGCTGTAATCTTTATGAAGACAGACTGACACATCTTTCTTCCACAGAGTGGCTGTTGGGGTTGAACCACTAATTTCTTGCTTAGCACCAAGCACTTAACCACCATGCTATCAGGGCTCCTTAAGAGTAGAATAAATGTGTTCAAGTGTATAAAAGTGTATAAAAGGCAGAGATGAAGATAGTTTCTTCATATGTGCTTAAATCTTAGTTCTCTTAGCACCTAAAGTTCCCAAGCCAAACGTAAACATTGTCTTCTACTTGTTAGTTTACATATTTTGATATAATGCTAATTATTAGAATCACTTTGTATGAAGGGAATTCTAAAAGTTTGGAAAAATTCCCATTATCTTTTAATTACATTTTTCCACAAACTTTTGGAAGCCCCTTTGTATTAATAGTGACTTTTAGCTTTGTCTGTTTTTTTTAATGTTTCTTTTCTCAGGATAAAAAGCAGTCTTAACCTTGACCAGATTAAGGTCTGGAAAAACTTCTCAGGCAGAGACCTTACCTTGTTGAGTTAATTTCATTCTACACTGATGAGAGTATTTGTAGAAGGATCTTTTGCCCTTGTTCCATAGAATTATTTTCTACTTAGGAAAGGTAGGAGTCCTGGTGTGGCGCTGTGGGATAAAGCACTGGACTTCAAGGTTGGTTTGAACCACAAGGTCGGTGGTTCAAACTCACCAGCCGCTTCTTGGAAACTCAATACAGGGTCGCTATGAGCCAGAACCAACTCGATGGTACTTAACAACAACAACAACAGGGAAGATAGGTTAATAGGATTGCTAGGTATGAAAAAAATAAATATATAAAAGCTTTCTTGTTTCCATACTGGAGTCACTATAAAGAGGTTTGTTGTTCTTGTTAGGTGTCACCAAGTTGGTTCTGACTCATAGTGACTGTATGCATGACAGAACAAAACACTGCACCATCCTAACAATTGTTATGCTTAAGTCCATTGCTGCTGCCACTGTACCAGTCCATCTCATTAGGGGTCTTCCTCTTTTTCACTGACCCTCCAAATTACCAAGCATGATATTCTTCAGGGATTGGGCTCTCCTGACAATATGTCCAAAGTGTGAGAGATGAAGTCTCATCATCCTCACTTCTAAGGAGCATTCTGGGTGTAATTCTAGACTAATTTGTTTGTTTTTCTGGCAGTCCATGGTACTTTCAATATTCTTCAACACTACCATAATTCAAATGCATCTGTTCTTTTTTATCTTATAGCAATAATGGGAGGGCAAAGTAAATATAAAAGATCTAGAAATGACATAGAAAACTGTGTTGATGTCAGAAGTTTCCTTCAGGTTTTACTTTTTCAGATTTAAGATGTGACCTGTAGTCAAACATCTATATTTCAGGCTAATAGTATATTTGTTTTAAAAAAAATTGACTTGAATTATTTTGTTTTTGTTGGCATAATTGGTAAAGATTGAAGAATTCCTTCTTAATAGTGAAGAAATAGAAACTAAAGATGAGAAAGAAATGGATAAAGAAAACAATGATGGCATTCATGAAAATGGCAAGTCAGCTGGCCTTCTCTCCATTCCCAAGCCCCTCTCATCAGATTCCACCTTACTTCTATTTAAGGATAACTCTTCCAAGATGGGGTAAGGAAAATTTTCTCTAAGAAAGAATAAGATTCTCTTGGATTTGATTTTCTGGTTAGAAACATGTGTAGGTATTCAAACACTTTACGTTCATATTTTATAGTTACTTTGCTTCTGAAGAAAAGTCGGAAACAGATGAAAACTCAAGCAAAAGGCCTAGCAAACTGGGTGAGTACCAACTCTTCTGTAGAACTTGACTTTTTTCTGGTCCTCCAGATGTGATACTTGGTGGTGGTGGTGGTGGTGGTGGTTATGTGTCTTAGAGTCGGTTCCAACTCATAATGACCCTGTACAGGATTTCCGAGGCTGTAAATCTTTATGGGAGCAGAGAGCCTCATATTTCTCCCACGGAACAGCTGGTAGTTTCAAACTGCTGACCTTGAAGTTCGCAGCCCGATTCGTAACCACTACGCTACCAGAGCTCCCCAGATGTGATACTTAAGGACTCTTAATTTCATGAAATTTCCTAGTTTTAAATCCTCGTGACATTCTCGTCTGACATGTGGCAATGATAAGAATTCAAGAATTAGAAAATTTTCTTGGTTCATTTTGTGAAAACTTCTATGCAGTTCCTTTACAGTTGACCATGGGCACATAGTAGGTCCTTTGTGAGTGTGTGTTGATTGAGTGAACCTTTAAATACTTCCATCAGTTGTAGATCAAAGGAAGATGTGGGTAGTGGAAGATCAAAGGAAAACTGAATAGTGGAAAAGGTAATCAAAGGCACTAGGAACTTTAGAGAAAGAAGAGAACTTTCAGGTGCCATGTAGCTCAGAGTGATAAACCCTGATTGTATAATACTATCTTAGTACTATAATTTACCTTTAACTTAATGTTTTAGAACATATAATTTTAGGGGTTTGCCTATGAATATTACCTGACAGTTTCATTATCAACTCTTTCCTAAACAAAGGCACCTCATTTTTGAAGTAACGTAAAAGTTATTTCTCTCTTTAGATGAAGATGATTCATGCTCATTGCTGACAAAGGAGAGCAGCCACAATAGCAGCTTTGAGTTGATTGGCTCCACGATTCCATCCTATCAGCCTTGCAATAGACAAGTAGGCCGTGGGACCAGTTTCTTCCCTACAGCAGGAGGATTCAGATCTCCTTCCCCTGGGCTATTTAGAGCTAGTTTGGTCAGCTCAGCTTCTAAGGTGAGATGGTAATGGTTTTCTAATCTCCTCCTCCTTTTTCTTCCCACTTTGCTAAATAAAGTGTGTCTAAGCCAACCAACTCCCACCACAGTGGCACTGAGCTTATGTATGTTCAGTTTTTAAAAATCCACCCCCTTTGTGTTTTACAAACAAGCTTCATCCAGTGCTCGTCTTTTCTTGGAGGTATTTTTCTTTATACTGCTCTTGGCTATGCATTGTCCTCCTCAACTGCAATTGCCTGAGAGTAGATTAAATGCTGCAAATAGCAACTTCTGTTGTTGTCATGACAGTGAATGACATTTGCAAAATGTTTTGTTTTTGTTTGGTTTTGTTTTGGTGCCAGAGTTCAGGGAAGCTGTCTGAGCCTTCACTTCCCATAGAGGATTCCCAGGATCTGTATAACGCCTCCCCAGAGCCTAAGACACTTTTCCTAGGAGCAGGAGACTTCCAGTTCTGTTTAGAAGATGACACTCAGAGCCAACTGTTGGATGCAGATGGGTAGGTAGTTTTATGTTTCTGTGGGTGGGAATGGTGCTGGCTGGGTACTGCTTAATTTTGGTTAAAAATAAAGTGAGCTTCTGTCACTCCATCTGTGCTTTCTCTTCTGAGAAAGAGAAGGTGTACAGACAATTAGTATTACAGTCTACAAGTATGAACAAAGTCTCCAGAAAATAAAATGTAAATAGCACTTGCTGACATCCTGATCCTTGGATCAAGACCTTTCTTGAAATGCATAAATCTTGTATTGTAAGGGCATCAAATGTCCTTTTATCCATGTTACTCTATTGTGATCATTCGGAAGGGTTGAGAATGGACAGGCCTGTGGAACACTACATGGACAGAACACCATGTCCTACTCCAACATCATTTGATGCCAGAAATGATCCTTTACCTTTTAAATCACATTTATCCTCTCACCTAACTCCCCCTCAACCCCCTTCCCACCCCTCCACTAGTCTAAAGTGTGAATCTTTTGTTTTCTGGTTTTGGATTCATTCTTTAACTTTAGTATTAGAAATGAGCAAACCATTATTTTGCTTTTTACCTGGAGATGTTCTTACCCTATTCATGGTGCTTGTAGGTTCTTAAATGTTAGGAACCATAGGAATCAGTACCAGGCTTTGAAGCCCCGACTGCCATTGGCCAGTATGGATGAAAATGCTATGGACGCTAACATGGATGAGCTGCTGGATTTGTGTACTGGAAAGTTCACGTCTCAGGCTGACAAACCTCTACCCAGGAAGAACGACAAGAAAGAGAACATGGAGGAGCTTCTGAATCTTTGCTCAGGAAAATTTACTTCTCAGGGTAAATATCCAAGACAACACCAGAATCACTCAGCTTAATAACTTAAAAGAAGCCCTTTACCATTGGGTAAAAAGCTCTCAGAACACTGAAGGAGTCTGCGTTGTTGTTGTTAAGTGCCGTCGAGTCAATTCTGACCCATAACGACCCTGTATAGGGTTTCCAAGAAGCAGCTTGAACCGCTGACTTTGCAGTTCAAACAACTTTGCAGTCTGATGCATTAGCCCACAGCACCACACTAGGACTCCAATGGAGTCTGTAGGAAGATTGAATTCAAAGCTAGCTCCATGACATTTAGATCTCACTTTCTTAGGGGTGACAGAGTATCAGTTTAAGCTGCCATGTAGCTCAGAGTGATAAACCCTGATTGTATAATGCTGTCTTAGTACTATAATTTACCTTTAACTTAATGTTTTAGAACATACAGTTAACTTTGGTCATGTGATTTGTCATTTACAGTTAATATGTGTGTGTGCACATGTATGCACAGTGTTTGGTGCATAGAAAAGTTCAGAGAAATATGAACTTATTTTTTCTACCTGTGACCTATACCCATGCCTGCTAGAATGTAAGCTCTATGAGGGAATGGCATCTTTGTTTTATCACTACTGTTTCCATAGTGTCTGGCATGTAGTACTAAGAAGGGATTTATTAAATGAATGAATGGATGGTGGGCTCTTTTTGGCAAACTTACTCTAGAACTGTATGGAGCTGGCATGTCTTTAGATGACTGGGAAAGGAGGCGAAAGCTGTCATTCCTTGGTGATACATCTTTTCCTTGTTGTGATTAGAATCCTCCACTCCAGCTCCATCCGAGTTAAATAAACAGGAAAAGGAGAGCAGCACAGGAGATCCAATGGAAGAAGCAATTGCTCTTTGCTCAGGCTCTTTCCCAACGGACAGGTGAGTCTCAGTGATTGGTGGGAACTTGGGAAGGCCCAGTCTTCTCATAAAATTCTGGGATCAGGTATCCTGGACTTAATCAATATTTGGTCATCATAAAAATTAAGAAAGAGTACCCACACTGAAAGGGGAAAAAAACCCATTTAATTGGTCATCTTAGGGGCTTCATATCCTGTTTGAGAATCTTGCAGTAGGTTTTGGGTCTCATATTTACAGAGTAAGGAAATTATAGTACTTTCATTTAGTTGATGGAGAAGATGGTAAAAAAAAAAAGTGTGAGATACCTTGTGTGTCATTTCTTGAAGAGATTATTAGTACTAATAAAATAATATAAATTCCTAATTTGACTTGCTGCTTGTAGTTTGCTTTTAACGATATTGATTTCTTAGTTTTAAGGAAGAAGAAGGTGAAGAGGAGGAATTTGGAGACTTTCAGCTTGTTCCAAATGATAATGAATTTGATAGTGATGAGGTGAGTATGAAGGGGACAGAGTGATGATAACTGAACTCCATATATTATTGCCCTCAGATTTTTCTCCGTGTCTAAGTTTTTTTGAAAATTCTGAGTCTGGCATCTTATCAAACAGTTTCCTAGAATGAGGTGTTTAGACAGAAGTTTATAAATCCTATTTCACTTGAGGATCCATTTTATTCTGCTTAACTTCAGATGTGATGCTGATTTTACAGGATGAACACAATGACCACAGTGAGTCTGGTAATAAAGATATGGCGCTGGAAGACCATGAAGATGATGATGAAGAAGAGGTCTTAAGACAATCTGAGAAGTTGAAAAGGCAAATGTAAGTGTTGTATGTATTCCATTCGGTTGTTGATAAGTACCATCAAGTCAGCTCTGACTCATAGTGACTCATAGAGTTTACAAGGAGTGACTGGTGGGTTTGAACCACCAACCTTGTTAGTGCTGATCCTTTAGTGCCAAACCTGGACTCCACTGCCATCTCTTGTTGTCGTTAAGTGCTTTTGAATCACAACTCATAGCAACCCTGTATGAGGTTTCCAAGGAGCGGCTCGTGAGTTTGAACCTCTGACCTTGCAGCTCAAACCAATCTTGTGGTCTGATGCATTAACCGACAGTGCCAAACCAGGACTCCACTGCCATCTGGGTAACTAAAATTCTTGGGTCTTTTTCCATATGAATTGCTATCATTCCTAGTCTCCCTGATCTGATCTTGGGCACATGACCCCCTTTGTATTTTTAGTGTGTTGTTGTTCTGATTGTTTATTTTCAAAGATATAAATTTTAAAATCATCCAAGTCCATTGACCAGAATATATGTGAGAGTGTCTCTGGTGAGGTGTTTTTTTGTTTTGTTTTGTTTTTGTTTTTGTTTCCTCAATGCATATACTTCTGTCTGCATTGAGTTCATACTGTGTATATAATTATTTGTGTGTACAGCTTTGCATATTGCTTTTCCACTTAACATAATCCATAAGCATTTTTCCATGACTTAAAAAAATTTTTTATGAAGTCAGTTTTATTGGTACTCAGTATTATATATTGTGTGAATGACTTTGGGAGTTACATTTAGGACATTATATTGATCCCTATTAGATTTATATTGTTTTTAGCCCGTCGTTCCATTGTTAGGATCAGTTTGGGTTTCTAATTTGTCATCTGTAAAATTAAGTTTCATACACTTTTGGGTCATTCATAGATTTGTCTAAGTTAACCTTAGTTAACTGAAGAACTCTTTATTTGAAGAGCTCTTTGTTCAAATCTTATAAAGAATGACAGCTATAGATTGAGCTGGTCAAAACAGGTTGGAGTGGGTGAAAAGGCTAGGAATATTAGTAATTAGGAATTCCCTGAAGGAATTTCCCAGAGGCCGTAGGATTAGATGAGCTCAGCTAAAGTAATAATACAAATTTTAAAATAAAAATCAAGCTTCAGAAAGCCTTCAAACTTTTGTCTTTCATGGCCATAGACAGTAGGACTTTGCACACAGGGTCACAGTTGGCAAATCTGTTCTCAGTGAGAGCTAGAGTTAGAAAAATTAACTAGAAGTGGTATGTTTTTTGTTTTATTTATCTAAAACAAATCTTTTCTTCCCTCCCTCCCCTTTAAATTTTCTTTATTTTATTGTTGAGAATATTAGGAATGATTTTGATTACCAGGAACTCTGAGCCTCAGTCATGCTTCTAACTTGGGGGTCAAGATTTGATGGGCTGTGATGCAGAAGAGTCAACAAATCTGTCTTGGAGGAAATGCTCCTTATACTTAAGAAAGGCAACACTTTGTCTTGCTTACTTTGGACATACCATCAGGAAAGATCAGTGGCTAGAAAAGGACATCATTCTTGGTAAAATTGATGCTAAGCAAAAACAAGTGAACCCCTCCAGTAGATGGAATGGCATGGTAGCTGCAACAATGGGCTCAAACATATCAATGGATGTGAGAATGGCGCTAGTCTGGGCTGTGTTTTGTTCTGTTATATATAAGGTCCATAAGTCAGAGGCAACTAAGCAACAACTAACAACACATCAAAAAAGAACCTGTTATACTACACTGTGTAGAGTCCAGAGTCCTGGTATGGCACTGTGGGTTAATGCGCTGGACTGTAAAATTGGTTTGAACTTCAAGGTCAGTGGTTCAAGCTCACCAGCCTCTCCTCAGAAACACATACAGGGTCACTATGGGTCAGAACCAACTCTATGGCACTTAACAATGTAGAGTCTTGGCGTGGCTCTACAAGATAAGCACTTACCTGCTAACTGCAATGTTTGGTGGTTCAAACCCACCAGCCACTCCTCCTATACCCAGTCACTGTGAATCAACACTTTTACAATAACAACATCTTTAATGTAGGAAGAAAAGCCTGGCAATCTACTTTAAAAACTGGCCAATTAAAACTTTCTTAATAGATAGCACTGTAACATTGTCAGATACGGTGCTGAAGATGAGCCCCTTAGTTCAGAAGGCACTCAAAACACAACTCGGGAAGAGCTGCCTCCTCAAAGTTGAGTCTACCTTAGTGATGTGGGTGTAGTGAAGCTTTCAGAACCTTCATGTGCTGATGTGGCACAACTCAGAATGGGAAGAAACAGATGCAAACATGCATTAATAATAGGAGCGTGGAATGTACGAAATATGAATTTAGGAAAATTGGAAGTCATCAAAATTGAAACGCATAAAGATTAACATCCCAGGCAATAGTGAGCTGGAATGACTGGTATTGGCCATTGTGAATTAAGACAGTCATGTGGTGTCTACTATACCGGGAATGACAGACTAAAGAAAAATGGCATGGCATTCATCGTCAAACACATTTCAAGAGCTCAAGTATAACACTGTCAGTGATAGGATGATATCCAAATGCCTACAAGGAAGACCAATTAATACAACTATTATTCAAATTCACCAAACAGTTATGCCAACATTAAGCAGTTGAAGATTTTTACCAACTTCTGCAGTCTGAAATCGATCAAACATGCAGTCAGGATGCATTGGCGATTACTAGTGATTTGGATGTGTAAACCAGAAACAAAGAAGAATCATTAGTTAGAGAATATGACTATGATGATAGAAATGATGCTGGGAATTGCATAATAGAATTTTGTAAGACCAACAGCCTATTCATTGGAAATACTTTTTCCAACACCATAAACTACTATATATGTGGACCTCAGATCTACTACACAGGAAACAAATAGACTACATTTGAGATGATGGAGAAACTCAGTATCATCCATCAAAGTGAGGCCCTGGGTCAACTGCAGAACAGACCATCAATTAATTGCTCATATGAAAGTTTAAAAATTAAAATAGTCCATGGGAGCCAAAGTATAACCTAGAGTGTATCCCACCAGAATTTATAGACCAACTCGAATAGATTTGATGCATTGAATACTAATAACCAAAGACCAGATGAGTTGTGGGATGACATTAAGGACATTATACATGAAAAAACATGGTTATTTAAAAGACTGGAAAGAAAGAAGACCAAAATAGTTGTCAGAAGAGACTGAAACTTGCTCTTGAAGTAGACTAACTAAAGTGAATGGAAGAAATGATTTAGTAAATAGCTGAACAGAAGATTTCAGAGTATAGCAAGAGAACACAAAGTAGAGTATTATAATGAAATGTACAAAAACCTGGAGTTAGGAAACACTTGGCATTTCTTAGTCTGAAAGAACTAAGGGAAAAAATGCAAGCCTTGAATTGTAATATTGAAGGATTCTATGGCAAAATATTGAATGACACAGGAAGCATCAAGAAAAGATGGAAGGAATCCAGAGTCCTGTACCAAAAACAACTGAACCATCTCAGGAGGTAGAGTATGATTAAGAAACAGTGGTACTAAAGGAAGAAGTCCAAGCTGTACTGAAGGCATGGGTGAAAAACAGGGCTCCAGGAATTGAGATTACAAATTGGAATGTTTCATCACTGGAAGCGCTCACTCATTTATGCCAAGAAATTTGGAAGACAGTTATCTTGGCCAACTAACTTGAAGAGATCCATACTTGTGTTCCTTCCAAAGAAAAGTGATCAACAGAATTCAGAAACTACTGAACAGTATCATTAATTAATATTCAGTAACATACAACTAATGTTTTGCTGAAGATAACTTAAAAATGGCTACAGCAGTACATCAACGGGGGACTGCCAGAAATTCAAGTGGGATTCATAAAAGGACATGCAACAAAGGCTATCATTACAAATGTCAGATGGGTCTTGGTTGAAAGCAGAGAATACTAGAAAGATGTTTGCCTGTGTTTTGTGTTGTTTTTTTTTTAATGTTTTATTGTGAATTATGTGATGGTTTACATGGGAGAACATTAGCTTTACAATCATCCTATTGTATATTGTTTCATTGCTATGGTTACAGTCCCCTCCATATATCATCAACCAACCAAAGGGTATATATACCCTGTCGTCAGCACACAGCCCCTCTCCCTCTCTGGGTCTAGAGTCCCCAGCTGCTCCATCTCTACACATCATCATCTCTGGCGTCACTGTTTCTGGGTAGGGTCCCGCCCTCCACTCTTCACCTTTGATGGTCCCAGGGACATCTGCCCCTAGACTGCAAAGTCAGTCACTCCCCTCCTTTTGCTACAAAACGTCTACCTTTACATTTCCAACCCTCACAGTCAGTCTTGGTAACAATTATTCACTATTATATCACAAGAGACCTATCCCCATTTCCTTTCATCAGTCCTGCCCAGACAGATTGGATACTACTCAGTAGAGATTGTACCTTCCTCCACGCCCTCTGGATCTAGGCTCCCTCTTGAAAGCTTGTAAGCCAGTCACTTCTTGCCTTTGTAGCCCCCCCATTTGGGGTAGCCAATGTCCAAGCTGCCCATCCCTGTCTACTCTGTGTATGGAGGGGGTGGGAATGATCCTTGCTATAAAGATTTGTTCCCTCTTTTGAGCTACTGCATCCATAGGTGTAGGTCAAGTTCATCAAATTGTATCAGATTACTCTTTTTTTCCTCTTCTTCTAATTGAGCTCTGATCATCCAGTCATCGAAGCCAGGTCAAGTGGGTATTATTTGCAAGTGTGGGTGTTCTTGTGCATATGCCCTCTCTTCTTATCAGCTGGACACTTCAATCTCCATTCTAGTCCTCTGTGGCTATGTCACTGACTCTGGGCCAAAGAGTCCCCAAGTCTTGCCACACTGCTGGCCAACCAGGTCTCCACCTGGGTTCACAGGAATCTATTGAACGTTGTAGGGCTTAGCTCGCAGATTCATTGCTGTTTTTCCCTCAATTCCCTTATCAGTGGCGAATGTGGTCACCAATCAGAGCGTGTATTCCCATTGAGTCTTAGTCTTGGAAGGGGGTTTGCCCTGAGGATACCCGACCACTTGGCTTGATGTCTCCTGGGTGAGCAACTTGATTGTTCTTGTAGTAATCAGTCGGACTGCAGTTATTGTTTTGTATTTTTCCTGTCAGTCTTTCTTTCAGGAAGTATCTTCTGTTCTTCTAGCCGTTCCAGGCTGGTCTGCTTGTTGTTTCAAGTGGAAATTTCCCACCTCAGAAGATTCTGGATGGGGTTCAGGATTCCACCTATAGTCTTATGTAATGCAGAGGCCTCACAGGAAGCTTCCTTCACTGGGCATGTTGTAGCCCCATTTTAGGTATTCCAATCAGGTACGGGCAGAAGATGGACTTACAAGCTTTCTATGGCGATATTTCTGGCTATTCCTTTCTCTTCCCCTCAAGTGTCTATTTTATAATGGTATGCCAGGGAAACCAAGCATCTTAACATTATTTCCTCCCTTTTGCCCATTGCAACTATGTCTCAATCCCTATATCCCAGAGCCCTGTTGTTTCAAGGTTGTGCATATATCATTATTTACCTCTGTCCCACTTAGCTCTAGTAGCATGTTGTTGTTGTTGTCAGGTACCATCGAGTCGGAACCAATTCATAGCAACCCCATGCACAGCAGAACGAAACAATGTCTGATCCTGGGCCAACCTCACTACCACTGCCACACTTGACGCCATCAGTGATGCCACTGGCTGATCCATCTCATTGGGGGTCTTCCTCTTTTTTTCTGACCCTCCACCTTACCCAGCATGACATCCTTCTGCAGTGACTGTTCTCTCCGGACAATGTGTCCAAAGTAGGAGAGACGAGGCCAAGCCATCTTGGCCTCCAAGGAGCACTCTGGTTGTACTTCTTCCAAAACAGATCTTTTGGTTCTTTTGGCAGTCCATGGC